GCTCACCCTGTTGACAAGCTACGACACCACCACATCCCAAATTGTTGGCCAGTGGATGCCTACAACGAATAGCATTGCCAAGGAGAATTTACTTGCAGAAGCGTTGCAAAAAGAAAATGATTCACTCAAGGTCAAACTATGCTTTACGGAGATTTTGACAATCGAACAGCAAATCGTCAATGGCATTAATTTTCTCTATCATGTGCGTGGCTGTGAAACGACCAGCCCTGGCCACTGCAATAGCGGCGTCTGTAGTGACGAAAAGAAGTTTGACGTTCAGCTTTTTGTGCAGCCGTGGACGGACATCGTGCGGGTTATGTCTGTAGTCAACGTGCAGTAGCTGTATTTATTTGCGAAGCTGCATTAATTTAGTATAGAGGATGCTTACTTCCTTGTTTGTACTAAGCTTATTCGCAAGATACTTAATATATAGTGACTTTGCTTTAACTCCTCAACTTTCCTAGCATTTATTGTAAAGTTGGCAGCATGAGAATCACAATGCTTCTGTTGCTTTCACAAATCTTGAACGTATGACGACATCGACATTAAAATCTGAATATATCCCAAGATAGCTAATCATGAGCCAGGTTATTCTGTGTTTTGGATTTATGACCAGCTTTCTAAGCAAGATGGCAGCGCTCTCTTCGGCCATATGAAAACCATTTAATCACGAAAAATGATTGAGAATAACTCCCGAACGAAAGAATTCGCTCCTTTGCTAACGATGAAATCGTTATCTGTACAAAACCTTTTTTTTATTGACAGCACAAGGATCCGAAATCTCAAGAAATTGACCGACGAAATTCGAGTCTGACAATGTGGGTGTAGAAGTGAAGCCGAAATACTCGCCTGAGTATTTGCCTGCGTAATTGGCCGTTAAGCCTGAAGTTTTTTGTAGCGATTGAGAAGTCGCACGCACAATAACAATCAGACTTGACCCTTTAAAAGACCACTAAGACGAATTGACGTAAATTGCGCCGGAAGATAGTCTAAGGCCTTATTGTATAGCCGTTACATCTGGAATTTCTCCAGGTTTTCGTTGTGCCGTGTTGTGCTCCATAATCCTCGATCGAGATGTTGGCACCTTGTAAAATACACCAACAAACGTTACATTAACAGAACATTTGCGCCAGTACTTTCACGCTACCAACATTTTCATAATTTGATGACTGTCGGGCTTGAAAATATGGGCGAGGATATTCTTACGATGTAATGACCGTCTTCCTTTCCAGGTGGCTTTTAATGGGGTGGCAAGAGAGTTTTTCGTCTAGTCCTTCATATTCTCGTGTACGCTTGCGAGCTGTCAAACGTTTATTTTGCCACCGTTAGTAGCTGCTCCATAAATTTATCCGGCATACGATCTATAGTATGAACGGCTCGAGCCACACGCATACGTAAAGTAATTATCTGCAGGAGTGAAGAGGTCAAGATGTATTTAGGGAATATCACGCAAGCTGAGAGGAAAATAGATACCCTTTGAAAAAACGTGCCACCCCCTTTGCTTTTTAGCTATAACGAGTGACTTACAGCAGGTTGTCCAGTCTGGCCACTCAAAAGCTTTTGTCCACCAAATCAATGCAATTTAGTAAGCATTAGTTTAAGATAAGATTTCAACTTAACAAAAACTTACATGTCAATGGCAACGTCCACCATCAAAGTTGGGAATTTCTGTAGTGTCAGATTAGATTGCGATGGCTTCGTATCGAGTGAAGCAAAAAAAATTCAGAGACAACCGCATATTTCCCGCGCTTGACAGATCAATTGTATTAAAATTTTGCATATTATCCTTAGTTGACAAAACTATTACTGGAGTATATCAAATCGGAGAATACAAATAAAATAAGGGCTTCAACAGCAAAAGTTACTAGGTTGAGACAGTGTTTAATTGATATGTGAATGTAGCTGAATAACAAATACTTGTCCCATGTGGGTACTAGAAAAAAGGAGTTTGATCAAAAGGGCGCCCTGATTTTCGCTGTACAAAAGGAGACCATGACTTTGTGATCTTGTATTTGATTTTCTTGACACATTCACTTCGCTTTGTTGATCATAGAATCGCGACCCAAAAATATCATGCCGGGTAATATTCCACAAAGATACATTTATGTATCGTACATTTATGTATCGTACATTTATGCACCCATTCTCAAAATCGTCACGAAAAAGGGATATCTAAATTACAGTTAACATTCCCGCCAACCCAATCACAGATTGCATCTTCTTTCAGCGGTTTAAACTTCCGCTGCAAGTAAATACAATATGACCAAATTTCTTCCAGATAAGAATTAATGGCTCCAGGCAATCTTTAAGCAATCTGTAGATTCCGATGTCGTCGGATTAAACAAATAGAATCAATCCTCGGGGCTGCTTTTTAGATTCTTCACATTGTCCTTGGCATCGTTTGAAACCTGAAAAGAAAACCAGCGGTTTTGTGACTTTTATCAGTTCTATCCATTGTTATGCGCCGCGGGCCTCCCGAATTATAAGCAGATTCATCAATTAGCACCGTGCCATAAGGAACGCAAGTTGATCTGATATTGGCAAAATACCTCATGTACTTGAAAGCACTTTTCAATAAGACATATTCATAAAAATTTGCCAATTACGTAAAATGACGGAATGAGAATCAATTGCGTTCCATAAACTTGGTCAACAGCCATCAGATGCATTGAGCTAATCATGTAGTGCTCTACCGCTTGGTGATCTCTGATCACTGAGGCAAACGAGGATTCTGGACACACGCTCCTGTGCAGCCCTCAGATTGAGGATTATACCAGCCATTTCTTCATCATATTCAGTAAAGCTGCGCTGCCACTTGACGAAACCATTTTTTCTGGATAAAACTGCGCAGCGGTTCTCAGCTGATACTTCCGCTCTAATCCGTAGCCATAGTTCGAGACATTCCTTGAGTATTATACGTTTTTGTCGCTATGACCCCTTGCATGAGTCACGCACTCCGAATCCTTACGGCATGAATCGTTTCGTAACTCCTCCGCAAATATCACGAGGATGTTCAGCTGGGATCTAACAAACTAGTCATGGTTCAGGGATTCTGGCCTGCCCGTCTGCAAGCAAAGGCGTCGCAACGAATTTGCCGATCTTGTTGTCGTCATAATGGCTTCAAAGACCATCTAAAGTTGTATGTCTCAATGGAAAAGAGCTTTATTACGCCTATGCAAGCGGATCTTGTGTTTGAATCAGGAGCAGCACGATCACAAGAATGTCGCTGCAAGCGCTTTTTAGCAGTTGTAACATTGCAGTAGTATTGTCTATGCTTAGGTTACGATGATCCATATCTACCGTGTGAGCTGTACCTTGGAACTGGATGTTGGCGAGAGTGCCGACAAATATCGTTTTTTGCGCAAGGAGTCAGGGAGACGTGCCGTCTCACGCTTCTCTCGGTTTGCAAATCATCTTCAGAGAAGCAGACGTCCGACTGAAACGTCTATAGTGCTTGATTTTGCAAACTTTAAAGCTTGTAATGGATGGTAAGATGGAATATCGTCCAAATTCACTTATTCCTATAAATGCCCTGCTCATTTTTGAGATAACTATCATTACGCCTTTTTTCACATCAAAATTCTAATCGGGTCTGATCCACTCAGTGACTAGAAGCGCGTTATGATGACTAATTCTATCTCTCCTCCAAAGAAGATTAATACCAAATATTTCAAGGTCATAAGCGGCGTAGCTTAACCTTAAACTTTTATGTAGTCTCGGAGTGAGGGCCTCTCTTCCACTTCACCAGATGATGATAGTCCCGGGGGTACTCAGCATCCCACGCGGATCTTTCAAGCTACGCCATCGCACTAGTGACTTGTGATGCCCTTCTACAGAAGGTACCCGACTGGATTGTACAAGCAAAATTGCAGAATGTTATTGAGCAAGCCCACGTAGATCACGAGATTCAATGATTATTTCTCAATTAATTTTTCTACGATCGTGGGCGATCGATGTCACATGGTCACATCATAATCACATACGCTGCATTTTTAGCTACTTTAACAACAATTAAGAAGACATTTGTATTCCTTAGCATTTCGTCTGCCTCTGGCATCAGCAAGTCGTTTTCGATCATTTTTGCTCTCAGCCATTACCTCGCAAACTCAGCGCATGATGCTTAATTGCATTGCGGTGAAATCAACTCACTTTCTAGAAAGTGCTATTAGCGAGTTTATCATAATGGTAGTCCCTCAACAAGACTAAATCTGCTGTCAAAGAAAACTGGGTCAACCAGACAATGTACAAAAATGATTAAGAGCCTGTAAGAACATGCACAGTGCTACCTAGCGCAATCCCAATGAGTGGGAAGATCTTGCTGCAATTTCGTGGCGAAAATACCTGAAGGGATTTCTGATCACAATTAGCACGTTCCGTCCGGTCGTCTGTCTCCAGATGGTCAGCGGTGGAAATGTCCAATCTGGTGCCTAGTATTTTGGGTTTACTCTGCCAAAATGTTGTTGTACAGCGCAGTTGACTGTGCGATGCAATAGCTGACATTAAGTTTGCTAGTAGAAAACAATGTCGGAAACTGTTCGGCTATATCTTAGTCGGTAAAGGTGTCACTGGCAGCAGCGTTGTGAGCCTTATTGCTAAAGTGACCCACAAGGGCCATGAAGCCGGTAATACCGCTCGCGACTTTTAAAAGATCATTTATAAAGTCTATATATATGATTTGACGTCTCGCTGATAAAATTGATCGGTTGGGCAACAATTTCGACGCATGCAGCAAAATTGTAACCCGTCGATAAGCTCAATCGTGCTCACATATGTGCCAATTTATAAAAAGTGAACCACTATTACGTAGCAGTAGAATTACTCTTCTAAGGTGGCTTTCCAAAGGATATGGAGTCGTACCGCGAATTGTCTTCTGTATTGATAAATTAGTTAAGAGGTACCACCACAACAAGTTAGTCAAGGTTGTAATGCGTTACGTCTAGGGCTGAGAAAAAGCGGAGCATATTTGCAACGGAGCGCTTTGATTTAGCATCATCTGAGCTCCCGAATTCCCTTTTTTCGAAGCTTTAACAATGCAACACATGTTGCATCTTGCCCATACGATGCTGGTCGAATTTAAATGGTGCAGGGTTATATACTGTAAAAGAACTGGCATTTCTGTACCTGTTTGTGGTCGAGAGTAATGAGAAGAAGCTTCTAAGAAGGCGACAATCTTTACAGAAGGCAAGGCTCACAGCCCAGGATTGTTGGTCGCTAACATTAATGTAGCGAAATTTCTTGGAGCAGTGAAAGGTATCGATAGATTCAAAGGCACCGCAATTACGTACGACGTGCGACTGTCGAAAGCAGAAGACAGAACGCGGACGCATTATATATTCCAAACACGGATCCGATATCCATGTGTCTTGCATTAAGAGCGCTAGAAGCATTGCCGAGTCTCAGTGTGAAAGCTGAGAACACTTCTTCTGCAGAGCTGTGGTATCGGTAAGTCATAGAAAATGATCTTATGTTATGGCCCCAGTGCATCGGAAATTGCCCGTACGTGTACAACACTTTCTGAGGAAGGCTTAGGTCAGGCAGGTTATACGCCTCACCGCGTGTTGCTCGCTTCCAGCGGGCCGTTGACTCACTTAGAGGAGAAATAAGTGAAGTGACATTTTTTTTCATTTTAGCCAATGTACTTCTAACCTCCCTAACCTGACAAGTACTTTCAGTTCCGATAGGACAGAAATGAAAGGGTTTATACAGCTATACAGGGTGTACATCGAATCTGAGGCGCACAAAGTATGTGGTTCACGCAATACGTGTAACAGGACCTGGCCTATTACGATATTCTCGACGGATAAACTGGTGTTGGCTGGCGTCTTCGATGTCAGAGTTGACGAATGTGGAATTGACGGTGGGTCACGGTCGCCTGCGGAGACTGGCAACTAATCGACACAAAAAGAATGGTATGACTACTGTAAAGTTAACTACTATCGTGGTGTCAGGTATCTGCGAAGTCAGCACTGCAATCGCAGTGGACTTTCTCACATGTTTCCAGCGAGAGATATCAGGCATCAGTGAGTGGAGTGGACAAGGTAATTAAAAAAATGGTATTTCGTGCCTGACTACCTTTGCCAAAAGCTATCATTGCACTAGCTTGCAACAAATCACATAACGACCAGAATGCCGAAACGGTATGGTGGTTATTGAAGGAAACCGCAAGCTATCCATCCGCCATGGATGAATATGTCATTAAGGACTTTCACATCGCAGTGAGTGTGAAGTGTAAGTCTGCTAATACCAAAGATCTTTCGGAGTTCAATCCTTTGTGGAAAAAATATTACAACAGACCCACTACGCGTGTTGTTCCCGGATTCAAAGAGCGCATAAAAAATGAGTTGGGCCTAAAAATAGATCATGCGTCACGTGCCAATACACTTTACCCAGAGGACAGGCTCTTTCTCGGTGAAAAGCTCAGACTAGTTTGGTATGGCATACCAATACGTTTTCGCATTTTGGCACCGGCTTTAAAAAGGCTGGTGGCAAGTGGCAGCACGGGAAATAGGATATGAAGAGTCGGTGGCAAGTGGCAGCACGGGAAATCGGATATGAAGAGTCGCATGAAATGACAAAGGGCATGCGAATTAGCTCTTCGTCTATATGGACATGTGTGGGCAAATTCGATTTGAGGTTTAGCATTACTTTCAGGCAGATCCAATAAGGCTCAAGTACGTGGCTTGACCTTTCCAACTACTTGGACAATTATAGTGCAAATTATGCCAATATGGCACGATCTCTTTACAGATCATGTGAAATGGTGCTGAGACACGGTAGAAAACAAGAAGTCTTAGAAGCTCTGAGTGCTTCCCCGATTCTGATTTCTCGATTCCGAATAACGTTTCATGTGACGCTTCAAGCTAATAGGATGTGCTTTACTCCAAGCAGTTGCCAATTGATATAAAGGCGTAATTGCGTTCGAGTATCGCTACCTCAAGACAGCAGAAGAGTTGTCTCAATGACGACAAATAACTTTGTGCAAGAATCAAGTGCAATGTGTTTATCCCTTAGCCATTTGTACCCTATGGTGACCATGCGCCGTTTCGCACAGCAATATCGTCACCACATCTCTCACAGAGTGGTCTCTGACGAGTATGTCTTTGAGTAAGGTATTAGCCGGATTGGTTAAGCGCGGTGGCGGACGTGCTTTGCGTCGCCCCAGCTATAACCTGTCGCAATTTACGGAAATCGATGCCGATTCACGAGGCGATACGTTCCCCGCGACGGGTTCCTTGGACGATCGCACGTGATAGTTCGACCCTTCGTAACCCTCAGCCGGGTGAAAAGGGGGCCCGCCAGACACGACCGTTTCTTACGACTACAGACGTAAATAAAGTAATTCTAATTTACTCGGCTGGTAGACAACCATCGAGTCTGCCGAGATCATAGAGCCCCACTATCCTGAATCCAAAGGATCTTTCGCAGCACAGAAGAATCTCTCTGCATCAAGGTGGCACCGAATTTTTTATCGAAAGCGGGCGATCTTGCTAAGATCCGCATCTGTTTGTAAACTTTTCATAAAGATGGTACCGCAACTGCCCCAGGAAGGCTTTCGTCCGCAATCGCGGCACCAAAAGCATGCAACTACTAGACATAGCCCGCAACTTATTGTCTCTCTTGATGGGGTGTGGGCAAGAGCTTATATTGCGCTTGATACGTTTGGGAAAGTGAAGCGAACCCTCGCGACATGCGTCACTTCAGACCCGATTGTGGTTAACATCTCTCTCTCACATAGGTTCTGCACATAAGTGCTCATTTTTGCGCGCTGTTGCTCCACCTGGGCATGGTTGATATATATGTATACCGACACCAAATTTCTTCATCCTGAAGGAGAGACGTTGCCGCCCAGGTTCTTAATGGCTGGGCGCTCAGCGTCAAAGGCCTTACGGTGGGCGCCATTTGTGCTTTCACCAGCGCCCGATCTGTAACGGGGTTACACGTAACCTTGTATGAAAGGGCGGGTCACACAAGATGATGTGACCGTACATAAGTGTGAATTACACAGGTTGATGTAATCACACAATGGTGTGGCTACACCGTAACAAGAAGCCACTACGTGGTAGAATTGCCAGTAGTAATGCATATTAAATAGCTTTTACTATATGAATTAGGTATTACTATATCTGGCTCTGCCCAACTAAAACAATTCAATTCAGTTCCAATTTTGAATGGAAGAGTTCACTGACCTTGGTTAAGGTTTTCGGTACTCTTGGAGGCAGCGGATTGCGATCCGCTGCACTCGTACTGATTCGTATAAAAAACGTAAGGTCGGTGACCTTAGCTTAGCTTCCTCTAAGCAAGGAGCTATGACAAACCCGCTTCACGATCGGAGCACTCCTGGAATAACTTCTTATGATATTCTCATAGCTGAAAAAAGCGCATCCGGGTAAACGACCACCTATTCTGGCCTCGTGCTGTCAAGCGTGCAATACCAGCGATAGACATAAGCTTACCAAGTATTTCCTACTCTCCATAGGACATGTTAACGAACAACACATATTCCATTATTGCAGAATATACAATGTTTTCATGAGTCGATCGCTGAGTGCTACAAAGTGCCACATGCTTCTATAATCTGGCTCAACGAATCCGTGCTGGCAAAAGAATCGATGTTGGTTGGACCTGTACGCTTTACCGAAGAGAAACGAAAGCTTGTTGTACCTAATTATCTTATTTGCTCTTCTAAACCAACAAAGATATATAAAGGATTAATGTCATTTGGAACAATTAAAAAATGTGTATGCTGCATCTAATAGTTGTCTTGCTCGACGCCCACGGAACATTTACTTACAGAGTCTGCATAAGTACCAGTCCTTTGGTATCTGTATTTACAATCACGTAATGTGAACTTCGTACAGTAGTAAAAAAAAAAGTATATACTCATGGTGCAGTTTGCGGCAAAGCTATCACTTTTGTTCGGTATTTGTAATCCTTTTGTATTGTTTCATCGATTTTGATCTCTGAGTTGCAGTATCGTTTCTATTGACTATAGCCGGACTGATGTCTGACAAATTCTAGAATTTCATTTTTCAGTGTTTTTTTAGAAGAAATCTTCCCGAAAATTCACGTAATCTCGCTCGCCAATAGAAAGCTTTCAAATTGAAAGCCATTTAGCTCCATTCACCATGGTCAACGCCGCCGCCGACGCCAAGAAGAAGTGCGTTTCTTTTCTTTTTATTCATACGTAGTTAACCATTGCGCTAAGTTTCACTTCAACGCTTTATTACTCAGCGAGGGGAACGAAGCCTTTAAGAAGCACGACTACCCCACTGCTGTAGCCAAATACACTGCGGCCATCGAATTGGACCCTTCGAATCATGTCTATTTCTCAAATCGCAGGTTTGTTATTCATACATATCTGGTCCATCTCGATGACGTTATGATACTGAGAACCTCTTCATATTCTTCCATCTTTAATTCTACCTGCCTCACTTAGTGCTGCATACGCTGGTTGGGGCAAGTTCAATGAGGCCGAAGCTGATGCTGCCGAGTGTATTCGCCTAAACCCCAAATTTGTCAAGGGTACACTATTCGCTATAATTGAAAGATTCAATAATTGTGACGACTTGTGCATGTCTTTAATGTGTAGGGTACCACCGTCACGGTGTAGCACTTAAAGGCTTAAAGAAGTACAATGAAGCTTTAGCCACGCTGCGTACGGGACAGCGTATTGACTTTAACAACGCTGACTTAAATCGTCTCGTGACGGAAATTGAGCCGCTGCAAGCTCGCGCTGAACAAGCCAAACGCTCGGGCATGAGTCCTGCTGAGCTACTGAAAGAACGTGGAAACGATGCATTTAAAGATGCTGCGTTCGAAAAGGCAATTGAATTGTACGGAGAGGCTATTGAAGCGTGCAGTGACAAACCTGGCTCAGCTCTCGCAATCTCGTGTTATAACAATCGTGCGGCGTGTAACCAGCAGCTCAGCAATTTTTCCGGCGTAATTCGGGACTGTACGCATGTGCTTGAGTACGATGAAAAGAACCAAAAGGCTCTTTTGCGTCGTGCTCTGGCATATGAAGGTCTGGAGCGCTACCGTCTTGCACTACAGGACATACGAGCACTCCTTGCTATAAATCCTTCCATTGACGTACGTCTCTCACTCCAATGTGTTCATGACTGCTTTACTGATTATATCAATTGCATTAGATTGCGAACAAGGCTCAGCACCGTCTCAGCAATTATGTCCGTCAGTTGAAGCAAAACAATTAACGATAAGGTACAGTGCACGACAATAAAAATGTGCGAGTGAGTGAACCCACGAGAGTCTAGAAAGATCTGGGACTTGGAAGACATGTGATGGTAAACAGAGAGACCATTGCACTCCGTAAAAGGTTCCGAGTTTCTACATTTGATCTCATGGTCCCTCAAATCAATACCTTCGTATAATGTATGGAAGCTTTGCAGTCGTGTTCGTTTTAGTCAAATTCTGCGCACACGAAATGTCATTCCCCATTGTGCGAATAGGTCCTGAATACTGATGTTGCCCATAACGATTATGTGCCGCTTCCAGTATCGTTTGGCTTGACGTGAACGGTAGAGCACCACTTTTTCTCCATGGTTGCCCAACCGATGAAGGTGGAGTTTCCATGCGTGGTCCTGGAGCAAAAAATGACTCTAACGTGCGAAATTGGGGTGGCATAATGTCAGACTTGTTAGGATTGCCTTTGAGTGTAAACAACTTGCTGTCATTGCCAATATTATCAAAGTTCTTACTTTGTTGCCATGGAAAACATTGCCTCCATTCATCTGACGCATAAAAAAATGGATTTCGAGGCATTTGGACCCTTGACGAAGCAGTTGAAAACTTTTCATCACTGCCGCTCGCGTATTGTGTACATCGATTCTTATCGGGCAAATGTCTTTTGTTCTTGATTGACTCTTTTATCAAAGTCAAATAATTTTGCCACTCTACGTCATTCCCCGTCTCGGCTACTTGACCACGAACATTGTCATTTAGACGATCGCAACAAATGCTCTTTTGAACTAACTCGGCAAGTTTTGGCATTTTTGAGTCCTGTTCTTCATTGTAGCCTTGACGTGCGCTGGTTTGTGTCTCATTCTCTTTATAACATTTTTTCTTAGAATGGTTTTCTACGTCGATTTCTAGCCTTATAAGTCGCTCTTGCAATCGTCGCTGTTCTTCTTTTACGTCAAAAAAACTATTCTCGAGACACCCACTTGCTGTCTCCGAGAACTTTACCCGTTTGAAATCTACGCTCACTTCGTCAAGCACTTGCTGCAATCGCCGCTGCTCCAATTTAATATTTTCTAGCCGCTGCGCTTCCTCCTCTCGCCCCTGCTGCAATCGCAACTGCTCCACTTTAATTTGCTCTAACAGACGCTTTTCCTCATCTCTCCCTTGTTGCAATCGTTGCTGCTCCACCTTAATCTGCTCTAGCTGCTGCTTTTCCTCATCTCTCCCTTGATGCAATCGTTGCTGCTCCACTTTAATCTGATCTAGCTGCTGCTTTTCCTCATCTCTCTCCTGCTGCAAACGCTGCTGCAAACGCTGCTGCCACTGTTTTATTTCCTCTAGTCGCTGCTTTTCCTCCTCTCGCTCCTGCTGCAAACGCTGCTGCTCCAATTTAATCTGATCTAGCTGCCAAATGTCCTTCTTCCGCTCTTGCTGCAATCGTTGTTGCAGTCGTTGCTGCTCCAGCTTAATCTTCTCTAGCTGCTGCATTTCCACCCCTCTCTCTTCCTGTAGTTGTTGCTGCTCCACTTTGATTTTATCCAGCTGCTGCTTTTCCTCATCTTCCTCCTGTTGTAATCGCAGCTGCTCCAGCTTCATCTTCTTAAGCTCCTGCCTATCCTCCTCTCTCTCCTGCTGCAATCGCTGCAGCTCCATTTCAACCTTTTCCATCTGCTGCTTCTTCTCATCTCGCTCTTGCTGCTCCATCTGAAACTGCTCTATCTTCCGCTTTTCCTCTTCTCGCTCCTGCTGCAATCGATGCTGTTCCAATTTAATCTTTTCTAGTTGCCGAATCTCCTCTTCTCGCTCTTGCTGCAATCGTTGCTGATCCAATTTAATCGTTTCCAGCTGCTGCTTTTTCTCCTCTCGCTCCTGCTGCTCCATTTGAATCTGCTCTAGCTTTCGCATTTCTTCCTCTTGCTTCATTCGCTGTTGTTCCAATTCCATTTGCTCAAGCTGCCGCTTTTCTGCCTCTCGTTCCTCATTTTGTTGTTGCTGTTGTTCTTCCTTTCGTCTTTTACCATCTTGAATAATAGCAAAAATCTGCTTTCGACACCGAAAAGCACGAAAGCGACGCTGAATTCGCAGCACTACACTGTGCAATTTCTGCTCACTTTGCTTCGTTTCAAGTTGACGTTTCTCGGATTGCATGATCGATAAAAATCGCTTACGACGTTGATGCGATCGAGTTTTACGTTGAAGTTTTCGAACGGCTAGCTGAAATTGCTCTTGGACCCGGCGAATGAGCTCTTGGGCCTCAGGGTGAGATCGAAATGGATGTTCAGCGCAAAGTCGCAATGTTGGGGCGTGAAAATACCACGAGGTTTTACTAAATTCATAAATCTGCCACTGACACGTATCCATGAGAGAAGCATGTAGTTTCTGAAGTGGTAAACCCACATGTGGTACGAGATAATGTTCACGCTCGTAATCTAATTGTTGAATCAAAAATAGTTTTTTAAAACGAATAGCGCTTGGCAGAGCTGCATCTTGAGCAGCAAGTTTTGCTAACTGTGCCATCTGAGCTTCCTGCACATCTTTTCGTTGCGCAAACGGAACAATTTTGGACGATATAAGAGCCAAATCATGTCGACGCATTGTAAGCTCAAATGGCGAGGCCAAAGATGCTCTAGACGCTACAATCACTAGACGGCGATAAATATCTGCACCAGTGGCTTTTGGATCATCAAAAAGATGATCCCCATTAATTCCAACCAAAATATTTTCGATTTGCACGATTGACATTTGTTGAATAGCGGCTTGAACATCTTCATTGACGTTGCTAATAGGAATTTTCGACCGAACAATTACGTCAAAGGGCCCTGTCATCTTTTCCAATGACTCGAGCAGTGTTGATGATGGTGGCAACTCAAAGTTCAGCAAAACAGAAATTGAAGTTGAAACGCTTTGAGTATCATTTTGTAGTAGCTTTGAGTCTTGTTGGTCATTATGGCTGCCATGAAGCTCAAGTTGCAGACCATAAAACGAAGAGACGGCTGAGATATCTAATGATGGAGACATTTTCGCGGGTGACCACTCATGGATGAGGCGGACATGGTACATGGCATCATATTCAGAAGTCGACTTCTTAGACGTCTCACTTGATAGTACATCTACTTCGTTGCCACGCATGCAGCTGGATCACGATTATACTAATGTATCAGATTGAAGCAATGAATGCGGTGACTTTTTATAGCAGCTCTAATTAAAAACCCGTATAGTGTACAAAACACATTAAGCTAGTTTTGGATTACCGTAGTTAACAAAAAGATTGCTTCTCAAAAAGATCACAATTTGGAAAAATCCCAACACTTTTTAATGTTATTGTGATTTTTAGTTAACAAAAAGATTGCTTCTTAAAAAGATCACAATTTGGATAAACCCCATCACTTTTTAATGTTTTGCGTTCATTTCGAATTACCGTACCATTGTTGCTACCTATCATCACCTGAGATGAAGCGGTTCTTT